CACCATCATCCTTCATCAGCTTTGAGTTTTGAACTAAAGGAGTGTTAACTGATTTGCAATTCTCCATATTGAACTTCTTTAACACTTCTTTAGCATACCTCCTTTGGCAAACAAAAATACCATCCTCTGTTTGATTAATCTCCATTCCAAGGAAATACTTCATTTCACTCAAATCTATCATCTCAATTACCTTCTTCATTTCACTTCACCACTTCAATTAAGGTTGCATTACTTCCTGTGATTAAGAGATCATCTACATACAGTGAGATAACAATCAACTCCTCATCCACTTGTTTGATATAAAGTGTTTGTTTATTAACACTCTTACTAAAACCAAAGCTACTCAGATGTTGGTCTATTCTGCTGTACCAACTTCTTGGCGCCTGTTTCAAACCATATAAGGCTTTTCTCAATAGGTAATCCTTATCCTCTTTTCCTTCTTTGATGAAGCCTTCAAGATGCTCAATAAAAATCTCATCATTCAAGTGCTCATTTAGGAAGGCAGATTTTACATCAAGCTGATATAACTTCCATTCTGATTGAGCAGCTATTGCAAATAACAACCTTATTTTTTCAAATCTGGCCACTGGAGCAAAATTATCAGTGAAATTGACTCCATATTGCTGAGCATAGCCTTTTACAACTAGCCTAACCTTGAACTTGTTGACAGAACCATCAGCATTCATTTTGGTCCTAAACACCCATTTTACTCCAATAACATTCTTGTTTTTTTGGTCTATCAACCAACATCCAAGTTTCATTCTTTTCAATCACCATGATCTCCTCCTTTATTGCATCTAACCAAATTTTGGAATGAGCTGCTTCATTATAGGTTGCAGGCTCCAGAATTGCAGGTGGCATAAATATCCTGAAGTGATCTGGTTCTTATCACTTCATTTCCTGAATTTGATTCACCCTTAGGTTCAGCTTCATGTCTCACTTCTTCTTCAGCATTACCAGCATGTTCAGTTTGTGAAATTAGTCTTAGAGTTTCAGATTTATTTACAGCATTTGACTCCCAGTTCCATGAAGAACTTTCATCAACCTTGACATCTCTAGTGGAAACAACCTTGTTGGTTTGAAGATTATAAACTCTATAACCCTTAGCATTTTCACAATAACCAACTAAAACTCCTACTTCACCTTTCTAACTTTACTTGTCTCTCTTCACTTCAGGTATATGCATATAATACACACTTCCAAACACTTTCAGATGCGAAACGTTTGGCGTAACTCCATACCAAGCCTCATAGGGAGTTAACTTGTCCAAAGGTTTAGTAGGCAGCCTATTGAGTAGGTATATTGAAGTGTTCACTACCTCAGCCCAAAAAACTTTTGGCACATTCTTATCCAGCATTAAACACCTTGCCATTTCCATTGCTTCATATTCTTCCTT